ACCCTAACCCTAACCCTAACCCTAACCCTAACCCTAACCCTAACCCTAACCCTAACCCTAACCCTAACCCTAACCCTAACACTAACCCTAACCCTAACCCGCGCATTGGGGCCCAAAATGCTATTCAGGGTTTGCATTGGCCGAACGCTCCATAAAACAGTTCCACAAACCAAAACTCACTTTACTGCACAGTTACATAAGTGTCCACGACGAAAAAAGGCCGAGCAGTGTTATTGCAGACAGTTAAGGTTGCCGCATCGTCATTTTGCAGATGAAGAGAAACCAACCCCCCACAAAACACAGACAACTCAGCCACAATGAAGAAGAGCAGCGATCAACGCCAGCTTACCTCCGCCAGCCGCAAGAAATAACCGCAAAGCCCCGCAACCAACGCAAGACACCCAACGCGAACAACCACACCGCCACACACACACAAACGGGAAGTGGGCTAACAGTCATCGAAAAGCGCGGCATCCACACCACTGCGCCATTGCACACCGTGCGCAAGACACGACGCCACTCAGAGCAACACTCCCACACGCAGCGCACTGTCTTCGCAAGGAAAGGAAGAATGAGTCACAGCGCACACTATTCCTTTGTCGTTGTCTCGGCCTCTTCATAGCCAGAAAAAGCAGCAGCGGCCACAGTCAGCACTGCCAGCAACAACTACGAAAGCATCCTCCACGTGCACTGTAGTAAATATATATCGTGTATGTGTGTGTGCCTGCAGATACAAAAATTGAAAGAGAGAAGAAAGAGGATCAAAGCGTGTGAGGACGCAGATACACACACAGAAGAGATGCAGTACGCAAAGATAGAAAAACTAGATAACTAAAACTCAAAATGGCACCGCAGCCCACGCAGTGGCAACACACAAGAAATATGATTTACCAAAAACAAAAAAAAAAAATTACTCCTAAAATAGTTTTCACAAACAAAAAATTCACTCCTCAAGACGTTTTCACAAAAAAAAAAATGTACTCCTAAAACAAATTTCACAAAACAAAAACAAAAACATTATCGTGAAAGGCCCCCGTACCATCCTTAAAAAAAAAACTTCATTTTTTTGGCCGCATATATAAAAAAAAACATATTAGGTTAAACCACCGAGATACCCCGGTGAACAGACACCATTTAACTTTCACAGGAACCTGGAGTGCGTTGCTGTGGCTCTCATTTCTTTCATCCTTCCTTCTCCCATCGGCGGACACACAATGCCGAGAGCGTCCGGAGCCGCCCAAGAAAAGCGGTTATTTTTTTTTATTCCGCGTCTCTTATCAAACTCATTCTATGGCCTGCGCGTCATCCGGCACCGTTGTACACGTCCGCCCCCACCAAAAACCAGGACGTAAAAAAAAGAGCCCCAGTCCCTCCCGTGGTAACCGCAGTGCAGAGACCCAATGAAGCATCTCCCCCTGCCAGACAAACACGCAGGATCAACGCCTTCGCCGAGAATAATTCAAAAAAAGTAAAAAAAACAAAATAACACATCCATAAAACAGTAAACCAACAATATAGCGAATAAAAAAACACACACAAAAAGTAAATGGACTCGCTTAATTCCTAGAGAAGAACAATATAAACAAAAAGGTAGGGATTAAAAAACATGAGGAATGCGCTGAAGGAATAGCACAACTTAAGTGCCAAATAAAAAAAAAGTCCTGCGTCACAATTTTTTTAAAAAAAAAATGTATGTCTACATGAGACTTTATTTAGTTTAAAGAATGAGTGTAGAGAGAGAGAAGCTCTCAGTAGAAGCATAAACTCCCCTCCACCGAGGTCCACTCAGCACAGGGCCGCAAAGCCCCATAGACCCAATAGCAGCAGAAGCAGCCGAGGCACATCCGCCCGCATGGAACTGTCACCTGTACGTTGCTCGGATACATGTGCGCCATCACATGCACGATGCTTAGCTGAATCGGAGCTGTTAACTCCACGTTTCACAAAACCATTGGATCTGTTAACTGCACGTTGCTCGGCTGAATCGGAACTGTCAACTGCACGTTGCTCGGCTGCATCGGAACTGTCAACTGCACGTTGCTTCGAATGCATCGGAGCTGTCAACTGCACGTTGTTCGGACATATCGGAGCTGTTAACTGCACGTTGCTTGGCTGCATCGGAACTCTCAACTGCACGTTGTTCGGACATATCGGAGCTGTCAACTGCACGTTGTTCGGACATATCGGAGCTGTCAACTGCACGTTGTTCGGACATATCGGAATTGTCACCTGC